CTATGTATGTTTTAAAATATAAACTTAATCTAAACAAACGTTGATATTAAAATAAATATATAATAAAAAATTCGTTAAAACTCCATCCTTAGAGAATTAAAAATTGGCGTTAGACAATGTTTAACTAAAATATTATATATATATATAAACATTGACAACAATACATTAAATATAATAAATTATTCAAAGGATTATACCACTTCAATAATAAATACAGTACACAAACACAATCAATACAAAAAACCTTATGATCATAAAATAACATAGCACGTGAAAGTGCATAAGTACAAATGTTATCAACCCCTTAACATGGATTATCCCCAAATCATACTCTTGTAGTGATAAACTGCAATTTAACACTCTTCTTTCTTTCTTTTCTTTCTTTCTTTCTGTCTTTTTCTTTCTCTCTCTTTCTTTTTTTTCTTTTCAATAAAGTAAAAATACCAAGTCTCATGGACATGCGTAGAACTACTCTTCTCTCAAAATTAAAATATATTTTGTAAAATTTTCCGAGCTTCAAGTAATACGATAATTGCCAAATATTATTTGTAAACGAGATACAGTTTTTGGTATATAATATAATAGTCTCTCTCTACAACACAAAAAAAATCTTTAATTCGCTTATAGTTGGTTTGTTTGTAATTAAGTACAAAGCTACACAATGGGCTCTCTGTGCAATACCTACTACTGGTATCGAAACCCAGTATTTAGCATCATAAGCCTTCAGACTTACTACTAAGCTACTGAAGGGGCGGTGGGCATTCGTTAGTTTGACGGTTTTATGAATGTAAAAACACAATGTCATGTTTATATTAATTAGAGGACAAACTATTTCTATGTGATTGCTGGATATTTGAGAATGATCAAATGACCTTCTATCACTGAGTGGACCTTTCATATCTTTTCCTGCTATTAAATTGTTGTTCTTATTTCCATCAAAAATCAACAAAACAAGTATAGGATAATAATGACGTCTGTGTAAAAATTAACTTTCTTTTATTGTCACGTTGGTATTTATAAAAAAAATTGACAGAAGAGTTTATTAAAGCTGGGAAACATCAATAATAAGAAGCATTAAGATACTATTGGATACGAAGGTAATTCAATGATGTTGGAAACGTTATTGACATGTAAAAATCCATATTACATTTGCTATGTTTCTAAACGTAATTACCAGTTAAGTCTCACTGGAATTGTTAATTTGACGTGTTAAATCAATAGAGGACGTAATTCGTACCTGATTAGAGATTAAAACTCCGTCGTTTTTTTTTCTAAGTAACTGCTCTTCGCAACGCTTGATTACAGAATGACATCATCACACGTAGTATTCTATTCTTACGTGCATAAATACACACTTTTAGCTGTATAGGAATTACTTCTGTAGAATATTCTGTTGTATTTCTTTATTTTTTAAGGACAGGATAATATGGTCACAGGTGTGAATCTTGGCCATGACATGATCTCATCGACGTAAAAACTTGTCTAACAGTCTCTGTTTCAAAAGTGACGTATGTTCTTTCAAGGTGTTTTTTTTTTCCTTTGTTGTTGTTATGGAAACTTCGTTCATTACTACTGCATAATTGTAAGAACATATGTGTGAAAACAGAAACAAATGTGTTATAACATGTCAACCACGCTACCTCTGCCATATCGAGTGCCAACTAGGCCTTTCGCTCAAGGTAAGATAGTAGAGCACGTGACAAAACTTAAATTGCAAAATAACCTGTGTGTGTGTGTGTATAATTATACTTCAAAGTTATTATATAGATATGTGGACAAATATTTTGTTATGTTCGCACGTGTATATAGTATATTTATCGGGTATTTTATGTTTTAGCTATAATGTAAAAGCTACGCATTAAGTAAACAACAAATATTTGGAGAATAAAATAAAGGTACCGGTAATCGTACATTGGTGCTAAAAACTTGAGATTTTTTAAGAAACTTCTATTGAGACCAAACTGCAGCAGCGAAGATAGAAAATTATTTAAGTGATTTCATCCAAATTAAGAGAGGCGTGAGGCAAGGCTGTGTTTTTTAAACTGACTTATATAACTTGTGCATTGAGAAAATCCTCAGGGAAATTGAGGATTTTCCAGAACTGATCACTGGCGGACAGAATTTGAACAACATGCGTTATGTTGATGACAAAGTTTTAATAGCTGATTTAGAAGAGATGCTGCAAAAAATGTTTAGATAAAGTTGTTAGCGAGAAGAAGGGATTAAGTATTAACAGTAGTAATTAGGTACAAGACAATTCCTGTACACATTGTCCAAATACATAAGGAACAGATAGAGCAGGTCAATAAATTCACTTACCCGGAAAGCTGGGTAGCATCAGATAGGAAATGGGATCATGAAATATAACATAGAATAGTGATGAAAATGAAAAAGATGCTTACAAATAGTAAACTGTCCATAGGTACAAAGTTAAGAGTTTTCCATTGTTGTGTTATACCAATTCTCAAGTATGCCTCAGAATGTTTGACAATATTGCCAAGTATGGAAAAGAGAATTGAAACAATTGAGGTGTGATTCTTATGGCGCATCCTGAAGGTATGTTGAACAAATCACACCTCAAATGAAGATGTTTTGTCAAGAGCAGGTTGCAGGAGGAAGCTGCTGATTTAACACCAGAAAAAAACAATTAGAGTTCCTCAAACATGTTATGAGAAGACAAGAAACTGAAAGTCTGGTCATTATTGGAAATACTGAAGGAGGGGGAGAATGTGGAAGACATGTGTAAATGGATGAATGTATCAATATTGGAAACTCTTCGTGCCTCAAGGAGAAGAAATCTGTGGAAGACTATGGTCACAACATCCTGTTTGAATATGGTATCTAAAGAAAGAGGCTGATAATCACCATGTTTTCTTTATAAATGTATATATATATAAGAGATAAAATGAAAGTTGTTTTACTACTATTGCATCGTAACAATTCAATCATTGTTCGTCACAACAAAACTGTCTGAAAATTTCAGCAAGTACATTGGCAGTGGTGAATTTTAGGAAAACGTCATCATGCCAATGTTCGCGGGACAATTACGCTAATTTACATAACCTCCCCTACCTCATCTCTAAGCTGATTTATACTTTAGCATCATAGCAAGTATCATAAAAAATATGATACAGTTTTATGTTTACTAACTGTAATCTAGAACAAAAAATGTTTGCCGACACTCATTACCGCCTCTTAAATAATTTATCGGCACATGGTGCCCGCTGAAATGTACCTGTACTCACTTGTAATTATGCCTCAATGTGTAGACTTCTAGAAAGAGATATAATTATAATGCTCTAAATATATTCGTAACATTCCAATGGTTATTCATCATTATGAGAAATGGACCGTGACCTCTTGGCTTAATCAAGCTCTTACAAAAATTTTAATCACTGCAGAGCTTATTAGATCTACAGTTCTGCCACTTTTGCTGCATTTAGAAATAGAAAAAGAAAGCTGGTCCACCTTTACATGTTTGGTCATCGAACGATATTGATGAAATGTGTACAGTGCGGAAATTTGTCAGATTGAGCTACAAAATAAAGTGATTCTAGTGAATTTTCAGACAGTAATTTATGTAGGCCTAAGAAAATTCATCTACTCTACAATGCTATTCATGCGGTGTTGAGTCACCTTCATTATCGTGTCCTGAATTTATCGCTTTATTACTAGGCGTTTTTCACAACTTTCCACCCCTTTAAGCTGGTTACAGCTAGTTCTTAAAATCAAAGAAACGACGAATTAAAGCTTACAGTCACATAAGCACTTTAATTAGTTAAAGTAATAGTATAAATTGATATATTGGCCTATTATAATTGTATTAATCTAACTGAATATGCGTTCCTTTTATTTGTGTAGTTATGTATTCCATAATTGACGTTTACAGTTCAATGTGCCATTTTATTAAAGAAATAAGCACAAGTAAATGAGACAAAAATTGGGATAAGTTAAATGTACGTTTGAGCTATAAATAATGTGACAGAAGTGAATAATCAAATGTTATTATCGTTCGTTTTCTTCCTTTTATTCTATTTTTACTGTTCCGTATTCACAGTACAGACAACACTGTGTTAAACAAATAGTTCTCAGATATCTTATTAACGTCACTTCGCTAAAACACCATGTTACCATCACTAAAACCCTTAGTACCATAACTCTACTAAATAACTTATTAAAGTCACCAATTTCCTTAAATCTAACAACAGTATTGTGATAAAGCCAGCAAACATGGATATGGCTATTGTTACTCTTAACAACAAAGATTATTTTTGTCGCTGATGCTGCCCACCAACTCGAGGACGTTAATGTCTGCAAGAAACTTACACAGGACACTGTAGCTCAGCTTACCCAACCATCAGTCATAAACGTAAAGAACTCCTCCAATACAAGAAAATTAACAACGAACCTTCCAACACTTTATATCTTACTCCAAAAATACAAACTTGATAATACCATCTGACCCATAATATCTATCTCAAACATAATCACTGAAAAGATTTCTGCTTTAGTTGACCATCACATAAAAGGTACTCCCTGTACACTCCACGGGAAAGACACTATTCACTTTATAAATACCATATGGTAAATCAAATTATAACGGACATTTACCTCCTAACTGCCTTCTGTGTATCATAGATGTTTCTTCCCTTTACACTAATACATCACGTGATGAAGGACTTGAAGCTCTAAAATTAATTCTAAATCTTTCAATCCACCAGAATTTCAAATAGTAACTAACCTTGCCAACTTTGTCTTATCTCTAAACAGCTTCGAATTCAATAACGGACATTGTCTTAAGGTTAACGGTACTACGATGGATACCAAAATGGCTTCTAAATATGTCAATATATTTATGGGCCATATTAAAAGCCAGCTTTTACAGTAAAGCCCTGTTAAACCTCGTACATGGAAACGTTACATGTATGACATATTTTTCATTTGGACAGCCGGTTCTAAATTAATTAAAGACTATTTCTTATGCCAACACCTTTTTCTTATGCCAACACCTTTCAAAACAATCTAGTTTACCCTTAATTACTCTCTTTAAATTGTCTCTTTAAATAACAGATTTTACACATTGACTTATACATAAAATCTACTGACGGCTACAATTAAACTTTATTAGCATGACGTCACTAAAACCTTTACTATCATAACATTACTTAAACTTTATTAGTATAACGTCACTAATACACTGTGTTTAAGCCTTAAATGCACTTTTATATTGTTTTATCTTTTAGTAAATTTATGAACTGCACTTATGAATAACTTTGGAAAAATAACTTGATTATTAAACTTAATAAATAAATAAAAATCTTAATGAGTTTTTCATTTACAAAGACCCGTGTTTTGAAACAACTACATTCTATACTTTACAACTTTATACTTCACGAGTATTAAAAAAAATCTTGAGTATGGTTTAAAATGATCAGCTTTATTCGCCATGAGGACACAGTAATAATCACTAATCTGCTAATCTTTGAAGGCAGAGTAATAGTCGATGATTTATCACTTCAAATGATCAGTTTGAAGACAAAGTGACCGTCGATGATTTATCACTTCAAATGATCAGTTTGAAAACAAAGTGACCGTCGATGATTTATCACTTTAAATGATTAGTTTGAAGACAAAGTGACAGTAGATGATTTATGACTTCAAATTATCAGTTTGAAAACAAAGGACAGTCGATGATTTATCACTTCAAATTATCAGTTAGAAAACAAAGGACAGTCGATGATTTATCACTTCAAATGATCAGTTTGAAAACAAAGTGACCGTCGATGATTTATCACTTCAAATGATCAGTTTGAAGACAAAGTGACAGTCGATGATTTATCTCCTCAAATGATCAGTTTGAAGACAAAGTGACAGTCGGTGATTTATCACTTCAAATGATCAGTTTGAAGACAAAGTGACAGTCAATGATTTATCACTTCAAATGGTCAGTTTGAAGGCAAAATTATTGTCGATGATTTATCACTTCAAATGATCTTTTTGAAGGCAAAGCGATTGTTGATGATTTATCGCCTCAAATGATCAGTTTGAAGACAAAGTGACAGTCGATGATTTATCACTTCAAATGGTCAGTTTGAAGGCAAAATTGTTGTCGATGATTTATTATTTCAAATGATCAGTTTGAGGATCTGCTGAAAGTATAATTATTTACCATACAGCTGAAGGTTAAATACTGTAGATATGAATATTGGTCGTTGAGCTTGTGATATATTTATAATTGATAAGATTATAAAACATCTATTTTCAAAAGTTTTGTGACAGTGCAATAATAGACCAACATATTTTACTCGTAGTTTAAACTAAACGCAGATTAAGCAAACTGATTTATGCAATCGACATTTTAGAGAAGATAAAAACGAAATGTTGGTTGTTTAAATTAAGCTGTCGAGCTGATGGTATGATTCGATTGTTTCTCAGCTGCTAGTCTGAAAATTAAACTAACAAACCAGATATTTTTGAGTACAATATTTTGGATATTTTAATTTCGATGTTTTGTGTAGAGGTAACTCAACAATATTTACAAAATATTAAAAAACAACTTCGTTCATCACGTACTTTGTTTCATTTATTTAATAGTTAATGTAAGTATTCTTGTTTTTCAGTTAGTCTATGCTCTTGTTGCTGTTCCAGTAAGCTTAATGCTTTTGATAACAGTCAGAGTTATGGAACAATGGGGAAGTGGGATTTCAACATTGTTCGATACGCCATGGAAATCAATACTCATGGATTCTACGGTTTGTATTTTAGCTTATGGCAACAATGTGAACTTTCTATTATATTACATGCTATATCTTATATGTGCACCATGACATGTAGTGCATAAATAAGCTTCCGGAAACTACTCGTACTATTCTAATGCTGACCTTTTGACATTAATCAATTAAGTTTTGGATTAACCGAATAAAAAAAATTAAACCATTTATTCGTTGCATAATTATGAACATTGATCACTTAATGTATTATTTTAAATACAAGCCTAATTTAGATTGCTCACAGAGTATGTTACGGTTTCAAGAGAAGAACAAATTACAAACTAGAATCAATTATTGCTATTGCAAAATGAAAGGTTCTTACACTTTTTATTCATGCCAACTAAAGTTTCAAAACTTTTCTAGATTTATAATTGACTGAGATTAGTTTTATGAAATAATTTAGTTAGGTAGGAAACAGTGCTATACATTTATAACCTTATCAATGAGAAAAACAAAATAGTTTGAAATTCGTCTGTTTTCAGTCCTGGTTGAGAAAAACAAAATAGTTTGAAATACGTTTGTTTTCAGTCCTGGTTCAGAAAAACAAAGCAGTTTGAAACACCTTTGTTTTCAGCCCTGGTTGAGAAAAACAAAGCAGTTTGAAACACCTTTGTTTTCAGCCCTGGTTGAGAAAAACAAAGCAGTTTGAAATACCTTTGTTTTCAGCCCTGGTTTAGAAAAACAAAGCAATTTTAAATATGTGTGTTTCAATCCTGATTGAGAAAAATAAAATAGTGTGGAATACGTTTGTTTTCAGTCTTGGTTGCTGGCAGCCAGAGAAGTGTTTCTTACATGGGTTCTATACGGCGCCCTCTGTCAGCAGATGTGTAGTCACAACAAAATATCTTCTAGTATCATCAAGTAAGTGTAAACGTAGCTTAGGGTTTTTGTTTTGTCTGAAACATCATTTGTGACAGGTGACTCGTATAATATACTTATTGTCTTAAAACTGAATAATTATAATTGACAGTTTATATAAAAACTATTAGAGCCTAGTCACATCGCTTATAACCTGTTTGTGTTCAATTATTAGTAGTAGTAGTAAATAATAGGTAATTGTGTATTTGATCATTTTGATATCCTGTGCACGTCATCAGTTCGGTTTGAATAATAAAACAATTGCTGCAATTAAACCTAGCGATGTTTGTTGTGATACTTAGACAATATTTTCAACAACTGCATAGAATATAAATAAGTGAATATATTAATAACAGAATAGAACTAACAAATCTAGTACTCGTGACTAGATATTTTAGACTATTGTAAAATTACACAGGATATAAATAAATAAATTCTATTAACAAATTGATTAACAACTTGAGCAGAAAACATAGGAAGTTGGTGTCTAATGAAATTCGTTAGAAATTTAAAAATAATACATTATAAAAATAGGCAGTAATAATATTGTAAGTTCAAATTATATAATGCTTAATAAAAAATTCGTGTTTTAGAAACGTCTTAGCTGTTGGAGTTGGAACAATCTTCATTCTAATACTTGCGTCACTGCTCTTCGCTAGTTGTATGCGTGCTATCACTGATAAGGATATGACTCTTATTCCTTCATCCTTCGGTAAGCACATTCGTCTAATTAATAATACTCATTTCTTGCATTGCTGTATAATTATGGCTCCGATACTAATAATTATCATGACCAAGCCATTGCTTCGCGGCTAAGCCAAATTTACTTTGTTTTCAAGTTTAGTTTGATTATTTTGATTGATGTTATTACTTACAGTAGCTTCGAGGTGGCTAATGAAAATGTCTGTCTTTTTCTAGTGTATTGTGCCTATCAGTATTTATACTTTTTATATGTCATGATACGTCAAAATAAAATGAAAAAAAATCAAACAACCAACAGACAATTTTGTTTAAAAAAACAGGAAGATTAGAAAGAAAAAAATATTCAAGCAAACTAGTAAAAACGAGCGTTTATAAAATAGGAAAAATAAACTTCTATCATCAGTGACAAATCAAGGCAAAATGAAACAAACTCGAATCATATAAACGTTGATAATGAATTTTCATCCAGTAGGATTTGCTATTCATAATGACCATTAACGCTATAAACATTGTGCCCACAAGATCAGTTTTAAAATTGCAAAATAAATATATTCCTTTAACAAAAATCATGTGACACAAAACTACATATTACAATCGCCCTATTCCTGTTGTTGTTTCCATTACAGTGGACTACATTTTTATCATTTTAATGTTTTTCCTTATTAGAGGGAGTTTGTTTACCTTACCCGAGTGAATATTTAGTAAATTTACACATTTCTTGAAAGCTTAAGCCTCTTAAGACTCTAAAAGCTTCCAGTACTACGTAAAGAACAAGTACAGTATAAAAATTCTAGGCTGGGCGAATTAGAGGAGTTTATCAGTTCTGCGTCAGTTTGTAAGTTAGAAAACTAAAGTTATTGCGACTGTTCGTAAGTGATGTAGTTAAAAGGTTATTCTGTAAGCATGTTTGCTATCCAACGATTAGCGAGAAAATTTCGAAAGTAAATTAAACGTGAATCAGTTTCGGAATTCCTGTTCAAACGTTGTTTGTGAACTTAGGCCTACTAGTGATCCTAGCCTTTGTCAAACATTACTGAGGAAATAGATTAATTTGTTAACGTTACATGGACTGGACTTGACATTATTTTTATTAAATACCACCCCCCCCCAAAAAAAAAAACAACGACAAGAACCGCCAATCGATAGAACATATTACAAACTGTTAAATTTGTAAATATTAATTATTATATGTTTTGAGGGGTTTTATCGACAGCGATCAAAAGACGGATAACTTAGATTCAATATCACGTTATACGACGCACTGGCTAAAAAGCTTTACCAGAGATTTGAGGATTATTCATTGCTACTTGAGTCATGTTTTCAGTCAATGCTTGCTACTCTTGACCTAATAGCAAAATTGCCTGTTACTTTTATAATGCACCCACAGATGAAAGCGCAGAGCATGTTTAGCAGCATGTAAGGGGCTCAAATCTTGAACCTTATGACACTATGCAACACCCGGCCCATAAATCACTGAAAGATATCGTTCAAAAATGGTATTGTCTATTTGGCTATTCATTCTTTTAAACTGTGTAGCTGGTATTTACTTTCTGAGTTGCATCTTTATCCATAAATTAAGACTTGTGAAATAAACATATGTTTAAATATCCTACATTTGGGCAGCTCTTTTTCGCTGCTCTCAAGGCTATTCTGTCATAACAATCGCTCAAAAAGCATACAACTAATGTGCATACAGATAACAAGGTTGTAAACGACACGTTAAAAAACAACATCAATAACAAGAACAAAAAGTATAATGTGAAGGTCGTGAAAACCACGTCCAGAACAATGATTAAACATTCTTTTGAAAGTAGCTTAGAAATATGCTAGCTGTGTAAAAAAAAAAAAAAAAAATCTCTCTAAGACAAATGTGAATGATTTTTTCTAATATTAATTAATTAATATTGTTCTTGTTAATTGAATGCCATAGGCTTTTTAAACGTAGGGTCCATTATTAGTTAGTTTAGGTTATGTGTCTTCATTTCTTAACAAGCAATCTCAGACTCAATGGCAGCATAAATCTTTTTTCCCAACCTTTCTTGCAACGAATGGGCGCTCATACCCTCTCTTAATACATTTTTACACTATTAAAATATTTTACTAAAACGAAAATTGTAAGGCAATAACAGTCAATTCTGACGGTTTCATTTTAACAAATATATCTTTGAAACCCTCAAAGCTTTTATGTCCACTCCCTCAAAATCCTATGTCCCCCCCCCCTGAATTTTAAAAATGCCCACTAGGAGGCGGTAAAATCGAGATTGGGAAACACTGGCATAAATGGTAGGACACTTTGTAAGAACCATATCCGGCATTTAGTCGTTTTTTTTTATAGGAACGTGCATTGTTTTATGGGGAATCCAAAGATGGAAGCCGATCTATAATCGGAAACATCCAAAGATGTTATAATTAGTTTTGTCAGTATAGTTGGGTGATGTTTTATCCTAATTCAGACAACGATCATGGCATTGTTGTAGTAAATTATCTATGAAACACTCACCATTCCCGAAGTTTTTGTGAAACTTATAAAGTATTGCTGAAACAACGAGCCAGAATCTGTGAGTGTTTGTTGTTGTCGAGATAGAAACGAGGTAGGATCCAAAGTAACCCGCAAATGTAAAAATGCCCAAAGTGTTACAAATGTAGCAGATATGGATGCGATCACGATGGTACACCGGTTAGCCATAAGAGAAGACAGAGAAGCTTCTACAGAGGAGGAGCTGTCAAGCCTCCAAAAAGAAATACGTCTACGTACAGGAGCGGTAAACTTACAGATGTATCCGACGACTTGCCCTCAGTTGGGGATGAGAGCAGAAGGAGTAGAACGAGTCAAGATCAGGTAAGGAACAGGGAAAACGAAGATTTTTCTCAGTGAAATGGAAGAATACTGCAAAGGTAAGAGGAGATAGTAGTACTAAAATAATGGCGAAATAACATGTACGTATGGTCCACTTTAAAATAATATAAACATCTTAACGACTACTCGGACCAAAGAAAACAGCACAGCAAAAGGATATCTGAGTTATGTCCTATACAACCATATATCTCACTTTTAGGTTTCCAGATTTGATGGGATACCCCACCACGTACCAAAAAAGTTGTTGAGTCAGAGAATGCTTATAATAATAAGTTGCTAACAATAATTTATAAGCATAATGAAGTGATTTATTTTGGGGAGGAATACTGCATGTTTCGACAGAACATTGATCTGCTTCTTCAGAGAATGTTGTTAAAGATAAATTTAATTCATTAAAGCAATTTTAAACAAAGCAAACTTTAAAGTTCTTAGAAACGTTTTACGCTAATAAAATGGAGTTTTTGTTTATTTCAGAAAAACCCGAATCTGTTAAGTTTTTACTTCCAACATCAAAATTTCAAACAACTTTGACGAACGTAACACCAATCAACTTCGTTATTGGTGAATGCCTTTTCTCTTCTGTAAAAGACCCGCTATCTAGTGGCTATCAGGTGCTTCGTTTCACTACAGAAATTTTTCCTGCCACGATTGCGCTAAGTGGGGTATCAACAGTTTCCTCGTTTTGGTCGATTAGTTTTTTTTTGATGATGATTACCTTTGGCCTTGCGCAACAGGTACGTTTATTGTGTGACATTTGAGTTTGTAATGTTTATTTAATGTACACTTTAATTGTGTTTGTTTTTTCGATAGTTCATGCAAAAGCTACACAATCCGAGCTAGCTGTCCCTAATTTTCAACTGACAGATAAGAAGAAAAAGTGCTGTTTTTTAGCTGTTTTGATATTTGACTGCTCCACTTATAACGCACTCACGGCCTCAGAGTGCAGTGCACTTTTTTGTGGCAGCAGGACGCGAATCACGAACTCTCTGGTTACTAGTCCAGCATACTAACCATTAGGCCATATTTTAATTTAAAATATACTTTTAAAACTCAGCATATAACTGTTTTCTTCATATACTAGAGTGATTTTAATATATAATTATTGTATTTTTCAAAACTGATGCATGTACTGATACATGTGGAGCTCACGAGCCATATGTACTGTAATAGAGTAAGGACAATGGAAGAGCAAAGCCTAATATTGTACTTTTCAAATGTTCCGAGCTTCAAAAACAGCGTACAATGTAAATGACATTGACGAGTTTGTTTGTTTGTTTATTTCTCTGTTGTTAAGCATAAAGCTCACGATGAGCTAGCTGTGCTCTGTCTATCACGGGTATTGAAACTCTATTTTTAGCGTTATAAGCCTTAAGGCTTACCTCTGAGCCACGGGGAGCAATCAACTTTGATCTTGAATAATTTGAAGAACAAATGTTAATAGGTATCAGCATATAGTTTAGATAAATTCCAGACAGTTTTCTCGTGAATATTACTTTTATTTTCATTGACAAAAGTAAAACGTTTTTTAAGTTTTAGTACGTGAAAGGAAACTATTACTTATATAATGTTTAACTTGTCAAGCTGCGGTTGGTTCAAAAGTTTATGCCACAGAACCCAGTTTGCACTTTCAACTGTGGGCGCGTTATACAAATGACAGTAAATCCTGTTGTTCGGTTCAAAGAACTGGTAAAGCCATTATGATGGTTGTAGCTGCTGCTTCTGAATTAGGGAAGGATATGCTTGGATCCTAAGGGGCTCTTAACTTGACCGTTTAGCCCACCTGCGCACAAGCTGCCGCTGATTTTTAAATTCACATTCATACTTACGTTAATTTGGGTGTTAAATTGCTTTGAAACATGTAAGAATTATATCTTATGGTTCTTTTTCTGTGTGTGTTTCTTAAGGTTGCACTGTGGAGTGTGGTTATTGATTCTGTGATAGCCTTAAAGCCGAAGATTCTCAAAGCCTGGCAGACTTTCCTAACCATTATCTGCTGTATCACCGGTTTCCTATTAGGCCTGCCAATGACGACCAATGTAAGCTACCAATGTTGAATTGATAGATACATTAATTTTGTGTATTTATTTCTATGCGCTAATTCACAAAAAATAAATAAATCACTCAAGTGTGGTATACTTTTTTTCTAACTCATTTGGATTAGGATTCAGGTAATTTTACTTTCACTATCAAAAGCGACCTAATAGTAGGTAATAGTAAAGATATGTCACTGGTGAGGTACTGGAAATAGTTGGGCTGAAATGAAAAATTTAACGAAAGAGTATTGATTTAAGGCCAATAAAACTATTTCTGGAGAATCATATGTATATGTGTCTTATAAGAAAATATGATAACAAATTTGAAAATAAAGAACAGAAGAAGGCAAATAAATATATGTATATATACACCTGGAAAAAAGTTAAGCACCCCCGTGTTTTTTTCAAGTGATTCAGATTCGACGTTCTTGTGACTGATTATAAATTACCATTCAATCTAAACGTGTTTATCAAATGAAATTATGCATTATTGGGCAAAAGAAAACAAGATTATCACCGTAAAATAACAATTTTTAATTTACATATCATGACATCAAAATATGGACAGTTTTCACGCTTAAAATTATCTTTAATAAGTATTGTCAGTGAAAGCTCAAAAACGTTATTGAATTGTCAAATCACATTACAAAATGTCAATCATGACCCACACATTGATAATTTGTTGAAGCGTTATCTGTCGCCATTCTCGGTGCAAGTGAGCTTCAAACTGTTGCAATGTCTGTGGAGGAGGCTCCAAAGCCTGTATTCGCCACAGGTGCTCTATAGGGTTGAGATCTGGACTTCTTGCTGGCCAAGGAAGAGTGTTGACGGATTCATTCTCTAAATAAGCCTTTACTGCCCTAGAGCGATGAGGTCTAGCGTTGTCATCCATGAATAAAGGTCTTGACGCTAACGTGTGGTTGTCAAAATGAGGCACAACTACAGGTGTAAGCACGTCCCTGGTGTACTTTTCGCCAGTAAGGTTGCCATTGATTGTTACCAAATCCAGCTTGCAATCATGCGAGACACAGCCCCATACCATAACTGAGCCCCCACCAAAAGGCACTGTTTGAACAATGTTTCTTGGAGTGTAAGCTGCGTTACGATGCCTCCAAACACGGGTTCGACCATCAGTTACGTGGAGTAAAAATCTACTCACGT